ACCGATCCTCGCATTTTCTGATATGCCTCGATTTGAACTTTCAGCTCCTTTAGCTTCTTGGCTTGATAAAGTAAAGCCTTGTTTCCTTTCGAGTCTGGAATACCGTCGACAAAGTATTCGATCAAGCTTTCATCGTCTAAATCAATTGGCTTCGCCAATTCCATTAACGCGTACAGGTACTCTTGTAACGTTTCGGTTTTCTTTTGTTGTCGCTTGCCAAGTCTACGATGAACCTCTGCCGATGTAACTTTAACCCCAAATTCTTCTAGCAATGCAGCTTTCAGTGAGCCCCAATCGCCAATTTTACGCTGACTACGAACGTAAAGCTTAGCCGCTCCGCTGAGTAATTGTTTTGCATATATAAACACCTGCAACTGACTCCATTCAACCGTAAGTGCACACTCTTCAAGTTCCTCGATCCACTGATTAATGTCAGGTGAACCAGTTCCCGAAAACTGTGACACACTCCCCTCTACATCCTTTAATGTAAACCACGATCTACCTGTGTTCGCATTTCCAATTCGACTGTTCTGTTCGCTTACAATTCGATTTTCCCTGTGCGCACCATTTCCTGCACCTGCACCTGCCTGGTAATTGTCTGAATTCACTGATGTAAAAGATCCATCCTCATCATCATCCACTTCAATCGCAACTTCATCGTTTTCATCAGTTTGCAAACCATAGTGAGCAAGTAGTTTGTTTTGCAATTCGCCTTTTCTTCCGGTTGTACTAAGACCTAGCTCTGACAACTTAGCGCGCAATTCTGCCACAAGCAGTGCCAAAATCTCTTGCTTGTTCATTTTTACTTAAATATAATTATAGAATATAAGGATATAAAATATAGTGCTTATAAAATACAAAAATGTTTATCAAATCCGCCTGCACGGCAAAGTTAAGTTTTTTATATATATACTGGACTTTCAAACTGTAAACTGTACTTTACTTTACTCTAAGTTAATGTGAAATGAATGTCAAACTTAATACTATGTTAACTTAAGCTGTTGACACAACAGTCCGACTGCAGGCACGCAATCTGTTAAATTTCAAATTATTTCCTACTCTCCAATTAGACCAACAAGAGGTCTTTAAAACAAAATTGGTCAGTGCTGCTCTCCACTTCTCTTTTCTGGCACAGCGCCTTCTGCCAGCCAAGTTGCAAAAAATCTTGTCTCGCCTCTCGATGTTATCTCTGTCACTCACCAAATTTCTTCAACCGTTTTCTTTCACCAGCCCAGCAATACAGCTTTGGATTTGTACAGTTGCCTCATCAGAAATGTCTTCTCGCCGTGTCACTAATACAGCTTTGGATTCTTCTCGCTGCCTCACCAGATATGTCTTCCTTCTTTCGCTTTGACCAGCCTCCTGACGCCCGTGTCCTCGCCCTCTCCTGACGCACAACTTCTGCGATCCGCTTGCCACTGTTTCCGCTCCACGCCCTCCACCCTGTCCAGATGACCACCGCCAACGATCCTGCCTCTCGCTTGTTGACGTTCACCACAAAGTCTTTACGCTGCCTCCAGAATGGCACTCGCTGTTCAATCGCCTTCTTTGTCAGTTTCTTGCCTCTTTCATTCGTTGCGCCAAAAACGAATTTCACAACTGCTCGAATGATGCGCAAACCCGCCGTCTCGTTTTCACTCACGCTGCCCTGCTTTGCAAATTTGTTGTCTTTCTTTTTTGCGCAGCACACTTGCTTTAGTTTATAACTGTCTGCAACGACAATTCACAGAGTTTTTTCCACTTTTTTACCACACGACTAAGTTTAGAGACTTAGGTTTTTAACACTTAACTAAGTTTAGTGACTTAGGTTTGTAATAGTTCCAAATATTCCGGCTGAGCCCCCAAATTTGTGGCCCCGGGAGTTCCGTTAGTGCGAATTACTTCCAGGACGACGTAGTTTTATTATTTTAATGCTTTATTTATTATTATATATTTGAGTTAATTACAAACTGAGTGTTGTGTGGTGTTTTAAACTTTAACGAGTTTACAAAGTGGAGTGTGTCTCTGTGGACTGCCTAGCGTGAGATTTCGGCATCAACTGACTTTATTAGAGTTTTTCTCTCTTGATCTGTTAAACGCACGCATACATTAGCGATCTCTCTCTGTGTTGTCAGAACTGACGTCCACTCCGTGTGTTTCTCTGTTCTTGCTCTTCTGGTTTATTCCTAATTCCTACATTTATTAACATAAAAAACTGATTTATGGCAGCAATTGTATTTAAGGCTTTTCAAAAGCTCTTAGAGGTTTGATTAGTTTTCTGTAAGCCACTGGCAAATGATACATATATCTTCATACTAACAAGTATTAAGCTATGCACAAACCTCGGCTTAATTTCAAACTCCCACCCGGGAAATCTTGACTTTTGCACTTGGGTTGGTTCGATCAATTCAAGCCATCGATGCAAATGTCAGCCCAGACACCGTTAGCGCGAATAACTGTAATTAAAGTCATAGCCAGCTCAGCTGGCCAAGAGCTGTTTAGTTGGTAAGTCGCTGCCAAGGCTCTTTTAGCATTTGTCAAGCGATCTCACACTTTGTCTAAGACTCTAGACTCTAGACTCTAGATGGCAGACCCCCGTCTGGGATCAGACCTCGCCGAGAGGCAGGGAAAATATTATTTTTAATTTGCATTTCAAGCGTTTCGCATTACCAAGGTTCTTGGCCAGCTTTGATCCACTTATTTTCTCTTATTTCGCCGCTATTGTGCGGCGGTGTAAATATTTTGGGTGGAAATTAGCAGCAATTTGCAACTGAATGCTAACCGAACCGTTTAAGCCGGCCAGAGAGCTGGCTCAATAGCAAACTACAGGTATCTGGATATGCAGGGGTTTTTTTTATTGTTTTGAACTGTGGGATAAAGCTGCTGGCCTGGAAAATTTGCCCCGTCATTGCCAAACAAAAAAAAAACTGACCATCGCCAACGGGGCAACACAATAAAAATCAGTTAAATAAAATATGCAGGCGGAGTTCCCAAAATTTATCAGATTTGAAGCGTAAATGTGACACTTTATTACCAAGCTGGTGAAATGTGAATTAATACTCAGTTGTGCTGACGAAACGCAGATTTCTTTTGTTTTCTTGAACATTTGAGTATTGTAAATATTTTTTAATATAGCGGTGCTGATTAATAGCCATTGTTAATATAAAAACTAAATTTACCACGCCCATTTAATATATCATAATTTTTACAAAGCTCTGAATTGTAATTGTGATATCTAAATCTTTGAACATTTCTATATTTATATTTACAACCGTTGATCACTTAACGACCAAACATAAATCTTTTTATGGGGCTTTGGTATCCTCCTTATCTGTCACGTTTTTTTTAACACGTTCCGCTTAAAACTACATATTCTTTCAAAAGAATGTTTTAATAATGTTTTTTTTTTATTGATTTTTAAATGCTTTTTTAATTGTGCAATTTGGTTAGTCATTATCTTTTAAAGATATTGTCTTTTATTTTGAATATATAATGTGTATAGCTAATTGCTGACTTTTTTTAACAAATTTAAAAAGTGTATTGTTTTGTGGTTATTATTTTTATGCATTTTACACATTAATGGTAAAACACGTTTTACATCTAAATAAATATAAATTGTAATAGTACAATCATTTTTAATCATATTTATACCGTCTAGACCTTATTAAAAACGAAACAAGTGTTCAAAAATAAATATTTTTGAAGTATTCCACAGATGTATAAATGCCATAAGGCTGTTGTTCAATCTATTTTTTCGGCTTAACAAATATGACCTTCATTATTAGGTTTTTATTTCAATTTGTTCACCCAAAAAGCCCATCGAATTCAAGTTCATGGCCCAAAAATCACCTGCTTACCCCCTTCTACTGATGTCTCTTTTTCTCTCTTCATTTATCGCCATCTCTCCTTTCTTTTTCCACGTGACTCACCTGGCTAAAACAGCCGGGGCAACAACAGTAACGAGTTTTCCTAACCAACTTCGTTGGTCGTTGACTTCGGCGGCGAATATGTGTCAAGGTCGTTGCCGGCACTGCTCTCTCCATCTCCCTCTTTTTTTTCGTCTATCTCTTGTGTACGTGCTGAATGGCAAGACTTCGAAAAAAGTTTACACAATTTCACAATTCGCCGCAAACAACAATCTTGCAAAGGGGAATCTCCCTGCTCCGCGCGAAAGATGATCAATTAAAATTGCATTACATAACACAGAGTAATTCAAATAAAAAAGAAAAGATGGGATATACAGAGCGAATAAACCGCATTGAATGAAACGGAAGCCCGAGTGACCTTGATTTTATATCTTGTTCTTCGATGAAGCAAAGCTCAAATGCAGATACACTAAAAAATGATTTTTTATTTAAATATTTTAATTAATTTTACGTAATAAAATTACATCATGTTTTGAAATATGAAAACATTTTATTCAACATATAAACGTTTGTTATTACCATAGGAAATATTACTATTTAACTCTGAAGGTTTTTAAAACGATTAATATTTATTTAATATTTTAATACTTTTACATTTAAACTTAAAAGCTGTACAATAAGTTTTATTTTTAATCTATTGTTACAGATTTACTGTTACTAAAAATGTAAAGCATGAAGTGTAAAATGTTTTCTGATTCAGGTACTTAAAGATACATATCTCAGCTATATACATTTTTTTTTTGTAATAAAATCATATTTGTCATAATTTTTCGAGGTGTACTGGTAGTTTCTCTGTCAGCCTTAGACCACTTCTGACCCCACTTCCACGCCCACTTCCCGGGAAGCTTCTTCGGCACAGCTTCTTCGGCCACTTAAGCAGAAGCCAACTTTTGGCATTAACCACAAAAGTTCAGATCGGCCGAGCAGCCAACAAATTGTAGCCCCCAGCCTGAGTGTGTGTGTACGTGTGTGTGTGGTATGTGTGTGGTGTGTGTCGCTATGCTTTTTGTGTCGGTGTGTGCAGGCCCCCAAAGCAAACAATGTTTAATGTAGTTTTTTTCTTAATACTTGAAGCGTCGGGCGGCCGACGTCGCAGTTAGTCTCAGCACAGCCGCAACGGAGTGTGCACGCGCCTTCAGAGCTAGAGTTAAAGTTAAAGTTAAAGCTATAGAAAACTGAGCTACATTTACCAACAACCGCCAAAAGCTTCGAACATCGAACAAGTTTTCCAGTGAATGCGAAAATTAATCTTTTCCAAATTCGATTCAAAGTTGTGGCGGCGAACGGAAAAAACGGCAATCACACAAACAAGTTGAAAAATTGTCAATTCAAAATTTTTGCGTTTGCGTTGTTCTGCGTTGAAAGTGATCGATAACGAAATCGAGCGATAACGAGTTTAGAAATAGCGAGTATCGAAATTATCAAACTGAATTTAAACTAATCGAAAAAAACCCAAAGTGACACTGATAACCTTCAATTTAAAAATAAACTCAAAGTAGCCCAATCGAAGCCACCAGATATACGAAAAAAAAACCCAAAAATAAAACCAATTGAATTTCGATCATATCTCCCACTCACACTTTCGTTCACCTGGTCAAAAATGGATGCGCCCAAGCAGGTAAATGACAAACCTATCCTACCAAAAAAATGTTTATACGCTTGTTGTTATTTTCGTTTGTTGTTGCAACTTTAACATGTTAACTAGGCTAAGAGACGGCAACAACAAAATGTGCGTGACAAGTTGGCGGCGTGTCTTTTGTGCCGCCAAAAAGTGTCACGCCCCTTGGCCCATTAATGCAAGGCGGCTCACCGCAATGGCTCAAAAACGTGTTTACAATTTGTTTTTCGCTGTATTTGTCTCCTTATTTATTTCAGTTTGTTTTTATGTTTCACCCGTTGTCTGTCCGACTTTGCCAATTGCAAATTTTTCCCGACCGCATCATTCATCATAATTTCGCGACATACTGTATATAATATTTTCTTTAAGTAGTGCATTGGTCAACAGGCAGATTGCATTTTTTGATGATTTTTTTGATATTATCTTTTGCTTTGGCTTAAAATAAATGTATATCTCTATATGCGAATTATTGCCAAATTGCTGAATAAAGATTAATGTTAATACAGCGTAAAATTTTTGGTGGTATTAAAAATAATGCAAAATGTTGTATACAAACTTAGATTATGACTGCTTTATTTTATAATATATATTTTATATATATATATTTTATTTTATTTTGCTTGTTATGATTTCATAAAAACGTTATACCTAAAATATATTAAGAATATTTACTTCCAATTTTTATCGTAGACCCAAGAAAATTTTTTAATAATAATTCGATAAAATTCAGTATGTTTTAAATATTTTAAGACAAAATGTTCTTCTGAATTAAATATATTAAACATTAATTAAGAATGAGATCTATTAAATATTTCTAATTTAATTCTAAAATTAAACAAATCATGTTGGTTATAAAATGTGAATAAGAAATACATTTAAGCAGAACCAAATGTTTTGATTCGTCTGTTCTTTTTCCAATCTCTTTGTTAAGTTCACTCGTAGTTTAGTTCTATTCACTTAGCACCCAATCAAATTAAATTAAAAACCCAACCTCAGCCACTCCATTATGTTCCTTAGAAATGAGTTCTTGTAATCGCTTTACAGTTAACATTTTTAAATTCTGCCCTGCTAAATTTTATTGCACTTTGTTCAGCTGAAAACGTGCCTGAGAGCTTAAACACAAAGATACAAACCCAAACAGGCACACAAGAAACTGCAAATTGCATTCGGTTATTAAAATTGTTAAAGAGAAGCAATTTTTCGGCGGCTTTCAATGCAAACTTTAATTGCACTCAATTTGGCTTCGGTGGTGTTTGTGTTTGATAACCTTGTGCAGAATTCTCTAACAAAAAAACGCACAGAAAAGCCAAAGTAAATGTTAACTGTTGGGCAATTTCTGCTCAGCCATGCAATTTTGTTTAATTTCTGAGTTAATACCAAAATTCTATTTAAAGTCAAAGCGGAGGTAGCTCGATAGCGCGACGGAAGCTATATACAATTTACGGCCAAATTTCATGGGACACGTGTCACCAGAGTAGAGCGAACACTCGACTCAATCAAGTCGATCGCATTCCCAGACAGTTCTCCCTTCACTTTGTCGAATTTGCCACTTCAGATTTGACAATATCATATATACACGACAAAAAGAGCAGCAGCTCCCACGTAAAAATCCAGCCAAAAGAATGGGGAAGCAACCAAGCATCCAATTTGGTAGCACATAAAGCACACAAAAAATCTTTATAATTTATTATTGTGTAAGAGATACACAAATAAACATTTTGGAGAGTCTCCTTTTTTGTACGGGGACTGATCTTTAATTCGGATAATAACTGAAACCAAAGCGGATTTGGTATTTGGCATCCAAAACCGATTTTGTTCTGGCATTTTCACTTTCGAAAAATTACTTAAGCAGCTGCCAGCTGAAGTTAATTTCAAATTAGGGGTGGCTTAATAAAAAACATAGATCAAAGTGGAAGGAAGTTGTTAAAAAGATGTTGGAATTTAATCTGATCTGAGAACATGAGAAATGACAAAAACCTAAGCTTGAGCTTGGGTAGTGGTAAGGCCAATTTTGCTCTTAATTTTAACTAACTTGCTAAAACAGTCGAAGTGTTCATTGACTTTATGACTTAAGAATGCAAACTATTTCAAATTCTTTATGGCAGTCGTAAAGTGATTTAAGATTGATAATGATATTACATGATACATTGAGGTTAACTATTAAAAGATATGTTTTATTATTTCAATTTAATTTTAATGAATTGCATAAGGCGCTGAGTAAGCGCACATAAATAAAAAAATTATTCAAGAAATCATAATAATTGTATATACCTATCTATAATTAAAATGTATTAAATAACATAAATCTTTATTTATTGCATATCGTTTTAATAATAACTAAATTTAATGTGAATATAAAGTATATTTTTGTGCTTTTCTATTTACACTTAATGAGTATTTTATTTTTATAACGATTTAAATCATTCTTAAATACTTACCAACAAAATAGCGAAGCCATAAGTTGTTTATCTTTAATTTTGTGTCGAACCATTTTGAAATGCAAATTTTTGAATCAGCCTTCAACATTTCTAATCAGCTTCCTTTCAGAAGGCCTCTAGTGTCAACTGCCACACGCGAAATCTGTTAATTGCCCACCTTCATTATTTCATGCAAATCGCTGGCACAAGGTGTCCGCTTAAAGAATGAAATCCGGCCAAGAATGTGCTCCCAGTAGATTGGGGGACTGATGGAGTGACGGGGGATTAGGCCATAGCCATAGATATGTGCATATTTATGGGGGAACGATAAAAAATGCTTCCACGTGCCATCGATGAGTCGCTTTCAGAGCTCCTTCATTAATGCACGAAATGTGTTAACTAATTAATAATAGAAATTAAAATTTTCGCTCTGAAGGAAAGGCAAAAACAAATCCGACCAAATTGATATTAATTAGAAGTTCATTGTGTTCAGAGGAGGTCTCGATTTGGGTTTCTGTTTTTCTGTTAAAGCCATCCCAGCCATTTTGGCACCGAACATGACTCAAAATTTGTCGGCGAGTTCCCCTTTGATCAGATCGCAGAGATCTCGGGGATCAGCAAAAAGGTTTGCGCTATAACCATCGACGATCGTGAGATGATTCGACCTGACCCCAGGCCTGGGATCAAGTCCGGCCCGAATTATTAGCACTAGAATTTCCAATGAGTGCTCCCCATCGCATGCTCATCGCACCTCGCCGCTTGTGCAACTCCGCACCCGCACCTCGGAATCCTCCCCTCCCTCTTCCCCTCCAGAAATCTGGCAAAGTTCAGAGCATGCAATTCTCAGACTTGACTTCTTGCCACTAAAACAAAAATAGTTTTCGTAAGCCGTTTTGGCCATGTGAATGCCGCCGGCGAACAACAGACAATTTAGTGAGGTGTAACGACGGCGGCTACACTGCGAAAAAATTGATTAGGTTTTTTTTTTAGGTTTACACTTTAAGGGTTTTATGTTTTCAATTTTTTTGCTTGACGACTTAAAAGTTTTAATAATTTTTAAAATAATGCATTTTTATGGTTCTTGTATTGTGCACATACATTTTTTTTTCTTAGTTTTTGTACTTAATTAGAAATTAGCAATTTATGAATAATATTATTATGTTATTAAATTTAAACTATATTAAAGAAGGCACTCAAAAGTAATAAATATCTTAATATAAAGTTAAATATTAACAAAATCTGACACCAGAAAAGATCAAGATACTGTAATAGCTACCAATTTAGAGAACTTTAGTTTATGAAGAATAATTACTATGTAACAAGTTTAAAAGAATGATTAAAAAAGATTTTCTTCAGTGCAAAAACCGCAAAAAAATGAAGATTCAATTTTTTGTTGTTTTAGTTGGCCCGCACTTGAGGTTGAGTTATTACACGAGTTGTGTCTCCATCTCACCTGCTTCCTCCCGCCGCCACCTTGCCACCCCCCACCCACTACACTTCTTTGGTTGTAGTTGTTGCTGCTGTCTCTTTATGTGTGTCGCCGCCGTCACACTCACAAGCATACCCATACCCCTCATGTGTGTGTACCTCCCTCGCTCATTTGTTTGCTTTTCTGTTATGAAACGAAATTGTGTCAAGGTCAAATTTGCATGAACACGCTAAGCAGCAATGGGCGCTCGCAGGGGGAGGTGGATGTGAAGGGGCGGGGCCGACGATCAGCTGTTCTGCGAGAGAGCTTTGCAAATAGTGGCTATTTGGCTTTATTTTTACGGGTTCCAGGTAATTGAAAACTAGTGATGGGTAGTATTTGCATTACTTTTAAGCATAGGTTCAAATATTAATTTAAATGGAATAAATACTGGGTAAAATGTAATTTCAAATAAGTGATAGCTTATTTTTAACCTTTGGGTTATTATAAGAAAAGGTTTCTTATAAGTCAACCAATTAAACTTCTTTTTTATTTTAACTTATTTAATAACTAATGTAGGAATATAATTGTGAATACAATTTTGAATTACCTAAATTACAAAATGTTGTATCCATTACTAAATGTTTTAACAAATGTTACTTTTCCATCACTATCACCAATCTATGTTGAAGCTGTTAAAGTCAATAGAAAAGTACGGTGAAAACAAAATAAATATTTATCACGCCCTGGAATTTAAACAGTGAGGCTGTCTGGGGTTAAGTATTCCACTTGTTTACATCCCCCTTATGTTTGGACTCTGATCCCCTGCCTCTCGGGGCACTTCCCATGTCAACTTTAATGACAGTTTTTTGTTGGTTTTTTTTTAGCCTTTATTTAAGTTTTGTTTTATATTTAACTTACGAGATGTGTGAATTATTATGGAAGTGCACAGCCCCTCCTTTTCGCCCTTTTCGGTAGTACGTTAATTGAAGGGGACAGGAAAGCTTATCCATTAATTAGCTAATAAAACTAAAATCATCATAAAATGCCCAACGATTTAATGTAAGACAGAAATTAACAAGTTTTAAAACGAACCAAAACGTGTTAAGAAAATTGAAATAAATTCAAACGAAAAGAAATCACAATAATTAAGGCAAAAGTGAAGTAATGCCTATGATTAACAAATTAAGTATGATTATCTTTTACAAAAATTTACATTAAACGACTTGAAAAGTTTTTCGGACCTAAATCCAGCACAAAAAGAATCGCTACATTATGCAGAAGCAATAAATGAATTCAGACTAAGATTCTTTTAATTGCATTTCGATGAGCTGGCAAATAACAAAATAGCTATGTTCATAAGAAATTATGCAATTAAGACTCAGTTAGAATTAACTTATGCAATTTGTTAGCTCGACTATGTTGGACAAGAACTTCCTCGTTTCAAAGTTTAATTGAGTGAAATCATTCTCTAATTGTCCGTTATCTATGCATTAAGCCCATTCACGATTGTAATCCCCTCAATCAGATGCATCATCATCATTCTGATTGCTCTTCTGCCTTTCACACAACATTCTCGGGTGATGAACACAGCATAAAGAACAGCAATTCATAAAATGTCTAACAAATGATATTGCTGTGTTATTAATAACTTTGATTATATGGCCATATACCCAGGCCCCTTCTCTCCCTTTTGAATGAATAATTGTCGACCACCCACGACGTCCACTGGACAAACATTGCTTTTCGGCTTGTTTATCATTAAGTACCAAATCAACTAGTAGGAAGTCGAGCTAAACTGAGTCATGGGAATATTCTGAATGAATCTTGGGGAAGATGGGAATGTGTCATTTATCCAAAAGAGGACGCAGAAAATTAATTATATGTATTTTGGTCAAGCTAAAAGCCATAGAATACTTTCCCATATGAGCAGCTTATATTATAAGCTTTAAAAACAAACCATTTTTTTCACTTAATACCCACTGCGAAAACCGGCAATAAATTTGTCGTCGCCCGCACTCTAAATACCATTAAATTAGTCATAATTTAGACAAAAGATAAAGCCGAAAACAAAGACTTTAAAAAAAAACAAAATAATTCGCCAAAAATGGTCAATTAATAGATCACTATCAAAGCGGTGAACGGTGGAACAGCTGCCGTATACCGCTGGCTAATAAAATAATTTGGGCCAAGACTCAAGCAGTTGGCAACAAGAAACACTGAAACAGATTAAGAAAATGTTCGGAAAATTCGCGTAAGGGAAACAAAGAACTAGAAGAACAATTTTATAAAAATTTTTATTAGCGCTTCATAACATACTAAAATTTGTTTTTAATAACCAATTTGTGTGGTATCCCGTTCATATACGGATTATTTCCCAAAGCAAACAGCAGTAACTTTAACAAGGTTACAATTAGATGAACAAATTTATGACATTTTTTATTAGCGCTTGATAACATACTAAAATTTGTTTTTAATAACCAATGTTTTTGATGTCCCATTGATATAAACGTACGTTTTATTTCCCATGTCATGCAGCAGTAACTTTAACAAAATACAAGATGGTAGAGCTCGTAATTTACCATCCACCAAAAACCCAGCTAATGCTAATAGCAACGATAAATCGCGCAGCACCCCGATATGCAAATGCAGCAGGCCGGCAAACAATTTGCCCGATAGCCAAAGCTAATTGGAAATTCCTGCAGGCAATGGCAGCCAAAAAGTGAAGGCAACTTCAGTGGCAAAAAAAAAAAATAAAATAAATATGTATGTATAAGCAGAACAACTGCAGCATGAATCAGGTCCGGGAACGCAGCCGGATATATATATCCATATATTGACATGCAAAGCTTAGAACCCTTGAATGATCGGCTGACGAAACGGGCAACGTAATGGCCATAAGCCAAACACATTAATCTCCGCCTGCGACGGCGACTGTCTGCACATCTCAAGACCCGGCCAAGACATTGCCATGCCCACCGCCAACAGCTGCCGACACTCCACGGTTCATTGGCGTCGGGTGACAAGCCCACCAACGTCACCAGTGATGTGGAGCCTACTCAGAGTAAAGCTCAAGTCTTGTTCGAGCCTCCAGCCAAGCGCACCCAGAAACGCGGCGCAACGGCGAGGAATTCCCTTCTCTGATCTGAAAAACCTTAACCCTCTTAGGGAAAAGTATGCAAAATAAATGTACTAAAATTTTTAAAATAAAAAGTTAAACTTAATTTATTGATTCAGTCAGGGAAATCCGTTTGTTGATTACTTATTTAAGCTTTACTGAACACAATGGAGATTTAATTAAACGCACAATTTCTGCTAACCACATTCTTTATGGCATTTACTTTTTCCAGTGACATTTAAATAAATTAAAAAATAAATGAAAAAACCTATGAATACATTTTATTTATATAATAAATTAAAACAGGTATAATATTAATTTTTATGAACCAAAAAAAAATTCCAAACCAATTTAATAAAAAATCTCTGCTAGCTTGCTTAAAATTGTTGTTAAATTTTTCAAGCAAAGGGTTAATATATTGGGCGGGTCTTTTATTTGAGTTTTCGGTTACATACAGTTATTGCTGCTGTGACTGCAGTTTAAGCTTGACCTTCAAAGTGGGCACAGTTAATGCCCACAATGGCGTTTTCTTTAGCCTAGCAACGAAAAACTTTCCAGCGGGTCAGAGATTTCGAAGCGAGTTCGTTGCCTAAGTCTTTTGTCTGAGCCAGAGTCTAGACGAATTTATGAGGCGTGACCGTCATGACGCTGCCTTTACAATAGAGCCATCAACCCTGATCCCGCACCCTTTCTCCCCCAAAATCCAACTGCTATAGTTAATGGGCGAAACCCGAGCCGAAATGGCTAAAAATAACAAATGTGCCGCAATTACCAGCATAAAAAAATGGTTTGGGAACAAAAAATAGACTGGCCCACGCGACCGTCAAGCAGTTGAGAACGAACGCCCCAAAGGAATAATTTGTGGCATAAGTGTACGTGTACGTGTGTGCTGCTGCTGGCTTGCGTTTGAGATGTGGGAAACACTCAAAATTACCAAAAATTTACGGCTGTCGAAACAATAATAATAAAAACTCAACAGAACAGCAGAAACAGCAGTAGAACCAGGCACCCGGATTCATTATTTATGGCTCCCTTTCCCCCCCATTGTTGTTGATTTGCTTTTTTTCATACATTTAATATTTATTGATTTCTCTGCTGGACAGAGCGCTGGCCAGACAAGGCACATTCATCACGTGCGTCATTTAACAGTTCAATTGATTTGAATAAAAATGCTATTTATAGAGCCTGACTGCGGCCTGGAATATTATTATAATGGGTCGCCCAGGGCGGTCAAACTAAATTTCCCCCTAATCGCGCGGGCAGTGACTCACATTCTGGATGCAGAAAAGCTGGCAAATTATCTAACCACATTTAGCGGTGGGCTTTCTCTTTCCCCTTGGATATTTATCAACCGGTTGTCTTCTAATTGGCAGGCAGAAATCGAAGCGGATATATAAACCGAAAGCATTTTGTACTTTCCAATTTATAACAAACAAAATTCCACATTTTAAGTTCGAACCAAAAATCCGGTTCTGCTTGGGGTTCTGTTTGTTTGTATATTTGTTTGTTCTTGTTGACCGTTTTCGCCCTCTCGCCAAACAATTTGTTACAATTTATTTTTGGCCATTAGCGGACACTCGACCCCCACAATGAGAATTTTATATTGTTCGCACTGACAGTAATTTATGATATTAATTGGTAATTAATTAAGTAAGGCATACTGCATGATCGCATGACACAGTGCCACCCACACAAAAGATGATTAGTTGGGATTACTATCCCAAAGCCATCTCCTTTGGCCTCCACCCCATTGCGATGGGGAAACCATTAATTAATTAGGCCCTGCTGGCATTGTTCGACTGCCTCTTCGTCTACGGTTTGTTAAACACGGTTCGAAATAAGTTTTATCTAATTAATGAGCTACGAGAATTAACAACTAAACGGGGCGTATCAAATGTCTCTACTTGTCCCTAGTTTTTATAAACTAGAGATGGTCAACTGACTACATAAACAAATAAATTATTTGACTTTTGTTATCTGTTGAAAAAAAGCATTTGAGAGTTTAATAATTTCCTTTTAATATATTTTTTAGGTCTTAAAATACTTCTAAGATTTTATAAAGGTGAACTAATTACTTAGTTTTCAGTTTTATTAAGTTATATATTTAATAAATAAACCTACTGCGTGTCACGCTTTCATCTCGAATATAAAAACCATGGCGCGTGGCAAATAAAATACGCAAAACAGAAACTTTAAAGGCAAAACAACCAATTAGTTGCCAAATTAGTCGTAGCCATTCAAAAATTGCTTAGCACTTTACAAATGATACAAAGCAAACGCTTGCCAAATCAACATATTAACTATTTATTAGGACAGACACAATAAATTTATGATCGACTTAGTAAACAAGTTCAAAATTTATCAGATCATTGACCCAGAGAACTACTGAGAAATACTGATCTGGATTTGGGTGTGGACCCAGATGAAGTCGAGTGCTCAGCACCCAGAACCGTTAAAGATAAGTAAAGGAATTCCTTCAATCCAGTTCCACGATCATGTTCTGCTCCAATAAATAAATTCAATTTAAATTCAGTTTAAAAGGTAGCTATAAAACACGAGAAATTACCCCGAACATTTGCAGAAGATGAAGCTGGTTTTATCCAGCCTTTGCCTCCATATCATCCTCCTGGTATGATGATCGATTTTTTGTTTTTGCTGTTTGGCTTTCACTAACCAATCGGTATTAACATATTGAAATATTTTAAGATGGGATTTTTTTTGTTTTAAATGTTTTAAGTTAAACAAATTGTTTTTATACCGTTTGCATTAGTTTATTGTGTGTTTGGAAAAATGAAGAAGAATTCACATTTCAAATGTGAAACAGTGAGAAAGCGAAAGTTATACTGGTTAAGCTGAGAATGTTGAACTAGTTGAATTTGCACTTGGAGAAGTCCATCTCAGGATGCTGCTGCTGGAATCTGTAAAGAGAAAACAAATTCAGTAAAGTCTGTTCACAAGAAATACATGACTTTCAGATGTACAACTTGTTTTAAATCTACATTTACAGATATAAATCCTTAAAGTTCTAGTAATAGTACACCACTTTATGCGGTTTGCAAAAATTTGTTTGCTGTTCTCCTATACTTACTTTTCAAGTAGTTCCTGCTTTTTGCGATCATCACTGGTGGGCAGACCCATCTCCTTCTGCCTTTGATCGAACATCATCTTCTCCACCATGCTGCGTGTCTGTCCATCTAGATCCGAAAGCTTCGATGACTCTGGGTTGATCTTGCGCGTGGATATCTCCGGATCGCTTGTGACCAGGCGACTCCACCAGCTCATCTTGTTGATCTTGTCCAGGGTGATCATCACGGTTTTGCTGTCTTGCAAGACCCACACGGACTCCTCCTGCTTCACCTCGGCGCACAGCTCGCCATCGATGATGGGCTCTTGACCTTTGATGCCCACCTTCAGCGTCTTCTTTCCAATGCTGACCACCAGATCACGGGCTCGCAGAGCGAATGACACGTTGAAGGGAATCTTGAGCTGCAGAAACAAAAAGGTTTAAGTTTTTCTGATGAGTGGGGTCTAATTTTCAAAGTTCTAGTTTTATTTTATTTTTATCATTATTACAGATAAATTTGGGGGCAATAAAAATTAATTTTGATGATTCTCCCTATTAAAAATCAACTATTCTTTTACAACTTCTAAAAGATTCTACTCAGCTATTTAAAAAAGTTTCTTTCAATAGTTTTTCTTTGTGTAATGCAAAAGCCAGTCCGTTAATGACTATCAAACTAGAGTAGAGTGGATTGAATGGGATTATTCAGGGGATCTTCATGTAAGCAAGCTTTGAGTGGCAGGTCTAGTGATTAATGATCGGATGTGTGTGTACATCTACGGAGATTCTTTAGCCAGACTTTGCTTTGGTCATTGCACAACCTTGAAGAGCTAATAACGATCTCTATAAATAACCAACTGCAGGGGCACGTCTCTGCATCCAACCATCCAACGATCATATCACAGCTAACCGATCTGCCCTTCACCAGATCAACGGATCGAGTCTTCCTTTGTCCAAGGACGCAATGTAGAACGGGAATTTAGTTCAGCTGCCAGTTCAAGGACGTACAGCGGTTCTTCAGGTCCGGTTAAGGGAGTCAACATCGATTCTTCAGAGCTCTCAAGAATGTCGCTCAACAGGTTGCAACAGCTACACAGAAAAATTCACTGAGATTTTTACAGATCGAATCGATTTTTGCATTTATATTGAAAATTACATTTATCGGAGGCAAGATCGCATATTAAATCTTATTAGTTTTGTTTAAATTAATCTACAACAAATTTGTTATGTTGTTGATAAAGATAATTTTTATTTTATCATTTTTATAGCAATAAATAGCAATATTTTTTTATTATTTATTTTGTAAGAAATCTTTAAAATCTCTACAAATTTTAAACGTAACATAAGAATTAAAAAGTAACAAATTACAAGGAATGCAAATCTCAATGTCACGTAGATTATAAAATATGAGTTCCTTGAGCTAAAATAATCATAACTTTATTGCTGTGTAAAGAAGTGAAGCAACCTGCAGATTGGATTTATATGCCTGCTTGGCCAAGTTCACAGCAATTACACTGGCGTCTAGAATTATGTGCCACGGCTGGCCATTAATTATAAATCGCACGGATACATGCATACATTAACACCTTTCCCATTAGCTCGCAGCATAATTAAAGCCAGAGTTATTAGACAACTGGCTGTGCAATCAATTAGCGAATCGCATGTGGCAGAAACAATGAGGGGTAAGGTAAGCCTTTAATTTAAATCTCACGACGCCGCATCGAACCAAGGACGCTTTCGTTCGGCTCATGATAGTTTATGGACTATCTTGTGGGGGGTATTCGTGTGGGCAGTCAGCCAAGGTAGTAGCACTTTGAGTTCTTCTCCTCGGAGCACGCGGCTCGTGCCAACAGAAGCTCGCAGATCACAGCTTGCAGATCACAGCTCACAGATCACAGCTCATGTGGGTGGCATCTTCATCACCGAACGACCGTTAAAAAAATGTGTCAAAAGCTGAAACTGAAGCGGATGTCAATTGGAAGCATTGAATCGTACGCGGATGTAAGGCAGCAACAAAAATAGCCTCGTAGAGTCAGAATAAGAAAAAATATCTGGAGACGAGGGCAAAGCGTCGAGTTAAACACTTGGCAACAGAAAAAGTCAATGGGAAACGATCGTAATGCAGTGCTATAATTCTTGCAAAGGTCTGATTACTCCGCAAGAAAGGTATATACTTTTCATAATTTTTCACAGTTTATAGTTGACCTTGAGGTAAAAGAATTTGAAAGGGAGTATATTAGTTATATTTCTTTTAGTTTGCTTTATAGTAGAAAATGTAATTCGTACATTTATAGGAGTAATTAGTTTGTCAACTTATTTAATTGTTTAATAAAAAAAATTGTGGTAGTTCAATGGGAATACATTTTCAAATTTGTCAAAATTAAGAACTTTAACAGCTAAAATTCATTAGGCGATTTTTTTATTTACTTTTATTTGTTCGGAAGCATAAGCAGAATTCCACATTAAACTTCATTAAGAAATCAAAGATGAAAGGCAAATTTATCAAGGGACTAACAATCTAATAAATGCCTAAATGTGAATGTGTGACTTTGTGTTTGGGGATTGTATAAATTTAATTAAGTAAATGTAGGCTTTCTCAAGGGACTCGCAGACTTGAAAACAAAACCCATTCTGCATCGCTGAAGGTTATGCAAATAGCTAATCAAAGAACTCTATGCTCGAAACTAGGAAATTTACACAAATCAAAAGTTGGCAGACTCGCAGACACCAACGGCCATTAAATCACCTCAACAGGTGGGACACTCATGCAAATGCTGCGGTTAGAGGAAAAACAATAGACTCGCAGCCAAATATGAGGTATGAAAATGAAGCTGTGCCACCAAAAAGGTAAACACAAAGCTGAAGAGTCACCGCCAGTCAAAGTCAGAGTTCGCTTTTGAGTTCAGACGAGCATAAAAGGTGTCGTGAATGAATTAATGAATAATAACAAATATTGATGACTGCGACGACGGCTGAAATAAAGTGGAAAAAAATAAGAAAAAAGCACGAGACTTGGCACACTTATCCAGGTGAGAGCGGAATCGCAGACGAATCGTCTGACAGTGGGCGATTTTATGCAAATCGACCAATGTTAATGGTATTGCTGGTCGGCTGCAAGTTAAATCGCCAACCAGTTAATCGATCATTCAAATCTGCAGAGTTTTAAACCAAATCGCCCCGCATCTTTCTCTGTAAAGTGAAAGACATCTTTGTCTGCTGCCGTTTTAAAGTGTTATTTGTTGCTATTTCATCTGGTGCCGCAGCTGATTAATTCTATAAAACTTGAACAGCATTTCATTTTCTTTAAATATCTAGCCGCAAATAATTTATGCTAAAAGATGCGATCCGGTGCCAGGCACCACCAAAAAAATTAAATAGGAAAAAAAAAGAACGGTCGCAACAACAAAAGTAGCGTAGAAACAACAGACCATCCATTTAAACAAAATAAAAATCGAAAAAAAACTAGCTTGTTGATGGAGTCGAGTGTTTAGAAGTGTGTATCTGCGGAGTGTTTTGTATTCGATAATGTTATCACACAAAACAGCTGAGTCGCCCAAGGAACTTTGGTGGGGGTACAGTGACTTGTCGGAAACTCAAATTTCTAGATATATCTTTAAAGAATTGTTTAAATATCAAAATGAAAGATTCAAGCTTCCGAAAAAATGGTATGCAGGTTTGGGAGGCGTTTAAAATATAACATAGTTAGAAAAAATCAAAAATCAAACATATATATTTAAATATTAAATATTATTATTATATATCAAACAAATGCTATTTAAGAAAGTAAATTAAATATAAACATATTTAATTAAATCTGATCTTAAAGTTTATCTTTACGAGTGCCTACTGCCAGCTCATTAAAAGCGGCTTAAACTTGACTTATTTGTGGTCAGAAGTGGAGTGGACCCCTAAACAACTCAAAACAGAGATGGGAGATGGAATCAAAATCGAGCGTGGCAAATTCTTTTTTATTCCTTTCCATTTAGAATTGTTTTGCGTTTAAATCTGAAACTAGTTCCTATTGGGAACGGCGCTCCACTCCACTCTGCTACGATCCAATCCCCCATGCCTCAAAAAACGCGGCGTACAATGAGCTCTCGAGTGGGTACAATAGAATCCGTATTGACATTTGCATGGTAAATCAGATTTGAGAGATCGATCTGGTAGCCATTTGTTTGCGCCATAAGCGGATTACAAAACAAATGATACTGAAAACTTTATCCGGTTAGCCTAGTCAATTTCGGGGGATATCCCATATAATGAACTCTATTCGACTTAAATTCTGGTGAGAAACGAGATCTTTTCTGATATGACTAGACTTTAATTTTGATGAGAAACGAGATCTTTTTGATGTGACTAGAACTGAAACTGTCATCTTGAATGGATTTTCCATAAATTAAATACACAGCAGAATGTAAAGAAGTTTCTAGAACAGATGAAAAATGTAGATGAGACTCAAATTAGGTATTTGAAAGCTTTGAAAATGTAAGCCAGTTTTTAAAACCTCCCTAATTTAGTTTAAATTATCTGTTCTTTACATTGTATAAGTTGATAAATGTTTCGAAAAACTGAAAGGCTTTTAACAAATTTATCGATTTGTAAAATATTTGCATATTTTATTTGCATATTAGATAATTTATTTTGACACCATGTTAATAAATTAACTAAATCGAAGTAAAATTAGCCAAACTTCGGGGAAAACTAATCGTAGATCTGGGATACTTTGAACTATCGAATAAATCAAGACAATAGTTATTTCTGGAGCTTCTTGACCTGATCTTTATAACAAATTCTCTACCAGGAAACTGAAAACGGATCTTAAAAGCGGTTAATTTACTCAAAGGCTTTGTCAGGTTAAATTCTTTGTTGTGTGATTTATAGGAGAAACCCATTAAGAGGCTTTATAAGCTGAACAGGTGTGAAACGGACAAATAAAATATCAGTTTCACTTATATAACCTACAATTAGAATCAGGCGAAATTGGCAATATAAAATGAATTGTATATTGATCCGATACGTAATACTCTTATGTGATGAGGTAACAACGAGAAATTTATTTAGTATTTCCGCTTGCTTGGCGGTTGAGTGAGTCAAGCTTTCAAGAATTTCGCATGGAATTCTGCATTGACTTAAGATTCTGAATATAAAATACACCCCTCGAAGGCAGAATACCAAAAACGTTTTCTATACGAAAATTAAGCTTTAATAGCGGCAATCAGTGAAATAGTGTCCGCAGGCCCCACACAAATAAGCGTGGCAGACGTCAACGGATCTATCCAGATAGCTCCAAGGGATTTCCCCGTTTACGACGACAAAATTATTAATTCTCACAAATATTTGTGTTTTTTTTTTGTTTAATCCCAATTGTTGTCACCCAAAATGGAACAGAAATCGATGGGCACGTAAGATTCGTCCGTTTGTCATCGCCGTCACTGGCAACTATTTTGCATTTTTAATTGTATGCATGAAAAAAAAAGATCGCCGTTTGTTTGTCTTCGGTTTTATTTGGCATCTTTGGGTTTCGCTGTGTGGTGCGGTGAATGTTGTTGATTCTATTGGGGGAATGTCTCGGAATGGCTCGACCGGCGATCTATAGCAAGTGTTTGGCTCCCATTCGCCGTCATCCCATCGCTTCAAGTGGCGACGTCCCTCAATCTTCGCCTTTTAAGTGATCTCCAAAACGCCGCCTGATTCTCTTTTGATTTATATTTTTGTTGCTAATGCGATTCGCGTTCGCCGGAGTCCATTGCCACTGCTCTGGTAACTGGCAGTGTCAGGTAATCTTTGTCAACTCTCCGCTGATTAAATCGGCCAGACTCGGCCAGCACTTCACCCATACAAGCGAAATGGCGGCGAGAATACCCCAAAAAACATTGTTGGATCTGGCGGCAGGCCACTCACTTGTCTCACTTAAAAGGTGATAACAAGATGCTCGACAGCAAACGAAGCAACAAAAGTTATGGGCGCAAAAAATTAGAAACATTTGTTGCCTTTTGCTACCGAGAATGACAGATGGACCTCTCCGATTTAACCCAAAGCAAACAAATTTGTAATAGAAATGTTGGGAATCTTTGGCCATTACTTGTTTACTCAACCAATTCCCACAGGGCGTTATAAGTCTAATGGTATAATAATATGACTATGAATATGATAAGATGACGACTATCCGAAGCCAAAAACAATAGTTGGGGGATTTTTGGCAATTTGTTTAACGAATTCCGCCAAGAGAAACGCAAACATTTTGGGCATATTCAAAACCATAATTTATTAATGGAAATCTTAGCTATGTTTTCTGTTGACTCATCGGTATTTTCATTGAGTCAATAGTCAGAAATGGATTTCCGAATATTCTATATCCAAATCGATAATCAAATGCAAATTTAAAATACATGTAAAAGAAAACTTGATTAGGAACTAGCAGTAAACTTGTACATCCCCACTTAGGTTTCAAATTTCACATTTATTAATCGATTAATTAATAAATATAAAGCTTTTGTTAGGATCTTTGACGTTAAATGCTTTCTTAGAATTCCAAATTGACCAAAAATAGACTTGCTTATATAGTCTTAAAGACATTTAAATAATGGTCATATTATTTATAAGACCATAAACCGTTGATTTAACAATGAAAAACGTATTAATCAAATATTAATGAAACCTGGGAACGATGGTACAACAAATGGGCGGGGCTATCTGTAAGGTGGTCAAGGTTTGCCCTTAATTAAGATAACATTAAAATAGAATTAGGTTTTTCCCGCAATCAAACTTCAATTTTTGGGCCGCCGAAACGGATCTAGAAAACGCCCACACGCCAAAAACGATTAAGAGCCCTTCACTGAAGAGCTGGAGAATCAGAAATACCCAGCAAAAAAACAAATTGCAGCTTAATGAGCAGAAGGGCGAGAAGCTAAAAAAAGAATACTCAAAAGAAAGTAGGCAAATCACTTGATGAGCTGATCAATCCAAGGCGAGCAGTCCACACATCAAAGCCGGCAACAAACCCATCAAACAACATCGAAACTAAAGTATAGAGAGAAAAAGTTGCCGATCGTCACGAGCTGTATAAAGATGTCTACAGTACGCTCTCTCTAAAAGTAATTGGTTTTAAGGATAAAAGAATTTCCTTTAAAATATATGAAAGTTATGAAACTTAAAAACTATATGTCAATGACAATGGTTTTGGTTTTTATTTAAATTCTTCATAAGACTTAACGATTAAACTCTTCTTCAGACTTAAGATCAAATTGCTCAAAAGTGTAATTAGTGTTTGAGTGACTACTGTGGCAGCAAGCGAGAACCGTCGAAATGTTATGACATGCAAAATCCGGCAAGAAAGCCAGCAACAACAAACACTTACACTCGAAAAGGTTTGCGCATCGCGCTGTCGACGCCGACAGCGACGTCACGTCTCTGCCCAGGTGGGCAGATCTCAGGCGACCCGAGATCTTACCTGTGAGCCCGACTTAGCAGCTAAGCTCGCTTCAGTTCGATTCTTGAGGCCGTTTAGATCGGTTCTGTTTGGCGACACGCGCACCAAAAAGTTCTTCGCTGTGAGAAGAAGTCGTGAGGAGACGAAGGAAGGAGTAGACCACCACTTAAATAATCGCCAAGAGAATCGAATCGGTTTCCACAAACAGCAGCCTGCCTGATCAGCTGAGTGTTTCGCGAGCCGCATTTAAATAAATTATACACATCATAAAATCCTAATTAAAGAGACTGACAACCGGAGCGAGACTCTGCTTAAAAATACTCCAGATTGTGATACTAATTAACTTAAATTGTGTGTGTGATAAATTACTGTAATAATCAAAGAAATCCCGAGAACAAAACAAACAGAAAATTACAAATTAACAAAAGTAAGTAAAGTAACAGCGCCAGGCGACACATAAAGTAAACCAAAAATAACGCAATGTTCAGAAAAAAAACAAATCGAAAACTGGCCAATCAAGTTGAATCAATAACGAGTGATAAGACTTCCGCATGCCTAAATAATATTTACAATAAATAAAACCCAAGAAGCAGCACAAACAAATTTATTAACTTCTGTGCTGTGTAAAACAAACGCACAAAACACATAAAACACACAAAAAAGTCGAACAGCAAAGGCAAACAAAAGACTTAAGGCAGAAACTCGAATTGCAACTTTTGTGATATAGCTAAATTTAATAGAATTCTTATGATTATTGGGAGGACAATTGATTGCCTCAATTACGTCAAAGCCAAACAATCGCCGGAGCCATTTAAAGAGAAAGGCCCGAAATATAAAAGCTTGCCCAAAAAAAAAAAAAAAAAAAATTGTCGACTAGCCGAATTAATAATAAATACAAATCAGGCTTTTAGCCAACCAAGACCAGAGACCATAAATATCAAACAAGTTGCCAACAAATGCAAAACAAAGACAAGCCGAAAGACAACTCGAAAGTTCAGGTTTTGTATATTGGATTTGGATTTCTTCTGACGCTAGCACCAACGAGTGCCAGGAATAGGGGAGCAGAGAACAGGGGCTAGGGAAGACATAAATGTGTAGCACAGATATTTTGGAGCAGAGCGGATGTACGAAATCGTGACACGATCACCAGATTGGTTGCTAAGACATACTCTTTTTCGTATGGGGTATATCAGCAGGAAACGGAGAATTAAATAAAAACAGCACTTTATACAAAACCTAAACTAAAAATGACTATATAATTTCTATTATTATTTTATGAGTTAACTATACAATTACAATTTTCCCGTAATTTGTGTGATCTACAAGTATAACAATTTAAAACTAGAAGATTAGAACGTTTAATAATATTCTGTAACTTTTCAGTCAAAAGTAGATTAGGAAATTGGCTAACTTTCTTCGTATATAAACCAAATATTTTGATAAAATCAATAAATCTTTTTGAGATAATTGATATATTATCTAATTTACCAGTCAAAATAGACTCTAACCAACTGTCTTTCTTTTTCTTACAGATGCAGGACTATTGGCACATTCCCCGCGCCTCGCTGGCCTCTTCCTCGAGCTCGGCCATCAGTTCGGCGAGCTCCTCCAAGTCCTCGAACAAATCACACTCGAATCCGCCCACCCTGAACCAACGTAGTTCGCCCAGCAACAGTAGCAATACTAACAACAATAATACAAGTGCCGCAGTGACGGCCGCAGCAGCGGCAGCAGTACTGGCGGCCGCCAAGCGGGGATCGAGAAGTTCGCAGGGCTCCAGCGACAGCAACAACAGCACACGGGTGAGTAAGACGAGCCCACGCAGGCTCCGGTTCTGGCGAGCCAAACCATTCCGAGACTCCGTGACTCAACAAACATTCTCTTCTTTCCATGCCAATTAAACAGAGCGCTGCTTCCGGCTCACTGCTGTTGACGGCAGCGAATCTGGAACGCTTTGCGGAGATCCACAAGAAGCAGGAGCGGCACAACAAGATGCTGATGCCCAGCAATCCCTCGTCGTCCAACTACAATGCCAACCTAACGCTCGCCAGCGGCAAGGATGCGGTGATCGCCATCGAGGGCCAGCCGGAAGATGTTGATCCCAATTTGCAGTATGTGAAAACCAAAGACCTGGACACCGTATCCATCGCCAGCTCCATGCACTTCACGATGGTCAATGGGGAGGGTGGTCCGCCCAAGAAACCGAAGCGCGGTCTCTGCGATCGGGGACGCCAGGTCACCGTGTTGATTGTGAGCATGAGCACCATCTTTATGCTGCTCATTATGGGAATGGTCTATGCGCTGGAGAGTAAGTTATTCTAACTAACCCTGAATCCTTTCAAATGTTAATTAATATTTATTTCACTTTTTAGTGCGCGCCCGTGACATGCCCAAGAGCTAGGACTCAATCTTTCTGCCTAGCCAATTAGTTTATTATTTATTGTATTGTCTTTGTCCCCCATTATTATTATTATTGTTATCGTGTCGTCTTGGCGCTAGTTGTGTAAGCTATTTATTAAACGATTGTTTGGATGGAGAGTCGAGTCAGTCGAAGCTGGGAAATTTCATTAGTATTAAGCGCGCTATGCTACGGAGACAGAGAAATATACAAGGAACTAGATCTGGAGCGGATCGGATCGGAATCGCCGCCTGGCATCGGATAATGCTGTACTTTCTGGTTAGCAATTAAGTTATTTATCCCTGTGATATGTTTAATAAATTGAATTTTATAATTGTACATGAAGGATTGCTGACTCACACCTGCCGGTAGGTCAATGACTTGAGCTTGGGGGTTTTTATCGATAATTGCGGCCTAGCAACCAGCGGTGATAATATAATAGCAGAAAAAACTTTGTGTTCATAGACATCTTCTAGAAGGTTTTAATGGCGCTTTTTAAGGGGTATTAAAGAATAGACTGTGATGTGCAAATGTGGAGTTTCACATGGATGGAACGCAAATTTGTGCCATAAACATTAAAATATGCTATTATTTTCCTATGGAAAGCTAATTTAAGTTGGATAGCTGAGCTGGCAACACTGATTTTCACTATATAACCATGACAACACCTACTGGGTCAACATGGAAAAAAAGGGGATGACCGGACTTACCTCCACCTCCTGCAGTGTTTGTGTCCAGGTGTATTTTTCCAAGGTGCAACCATTTCCTGAATTTGGTAGCAGCTTGCCCAGCTCGCCTTTCTCGGTCTCATCGTCAACTTTTTCGATGGGCTTGGATATGTCATCGCGATTCGAGGCAGCGGGCTCTCCACCAGCGCCAGCCAGTAGCTGCTGTCGTTTTCTAGAGTAGAATAAATTTATATTAATTGTTGTAAAAAGGAAAAGGGCTTAATTAGATTTACTAAAGCAAAAGTCGCAACTAAAATATGAATATCAAGAGCATCAGCAAATATAGATTAGAGCATTAAATTTTAGCCTTAGAGATTCAAGATTTCTTTGTTTTACAGTCGTAGAAAACTTAAGGAAACGCCAAATACGAATTTGAAAAAAAAAACAAATATGCAAGACCCAGATTTTGTTGCAACAATTCTAGACTGAGTCATGCAGATCTTTAAGTTAATTATCTTTAGATGAGCCCACATACTTGTTCTCCTCCTCCTTGATGATGGCCGCTGCCTCCTCATCGGTGATATCACATATTTTGTTGTCGTCGATCTCCTTTTTGCGTGCCTCCCTTTCGGCCCGCTCCTTTTCGTCCTTTTGACGTTGGGCGGCCTCGCGACTCTTAAGCTTTTCGCTGTGGGCGCTTATGGCCAACTTGGACTCCTTGTTGAACACATCCAGCAGGAGTTTCTCCCATTCCGCCTGTTTGGCACCGGTGAAGAAATCGGTTTTGCGGCGCAGAAAACTGGCCAAAGTGCCCAGGAACTGCAAGATAAAAAAGAACACCATGATTAAACAAAACAGAAACAAAGAAATGGAGCTCATTGTTATTGTTTTACCTCGGGCACGCCTCCGCGATGCTTTTCAGCCACAGCCAACAGGATATTGTCGAACTTTCCTTCCTCGGCAGACATTGTAGAGAGTATTTGTACTGTTGGCAAATTAAATTTGTTTTTCGTTTGTTTTCTGGACGCTTCGATTGGATTTTTTATCTGAAGTTTTTCTGTTGACCCGGCACATGTACAAACAGTGTTACCAGCTGTCACGTAGAAGGTGAGACACATCGATGTTTTCAAAATATTGGTCTTATCGATGTTTGTAGAAATTCCAAAAATACCGTCTCCCTGGAGAATATATACCAAACCACCAGATGATATATAGCTGCCAGCTTTTGACAGTGAGCAGAATATATAATGGTGTTTAACGGTCAACTTTTAAAAAAATTTAAACACTTTTGAAAACATAGTTTTAAAAATCAAGAGTATGAACAAAAAACAAAAAATAAACACAGAACACGGATCTTCTCTGTTCACCTTCTTTTTTGTTAAAGCATTTGTTATTTGGTACTTGCCGACTTTAAATTTTAATATTTTCTGGTAAATAATCACCATTAAAATTATTGTATTTTTTGTAGCCTTTTTTTGGCTTAGTGGGAATAGTATATAAGCCTATGTCAGTGAGCTGCCCGGCATGTAGCGGTATTTAACGCTCAAATATTTAAATAAAAATGAGCTAGCTTTAAATAAAAGAAAAAGCAGAAAATGAACCTTAAAAAATAAATTATTATTGGGAATAAAATAAAAAAAAACAAGCTTTCGTAAAACAGAAAATATAACGACACTCCGTTTAAGCTCTCACGCAATTTTCTGCTCTCGCTGACTCTCCATTTCTTGCCTTGCTCACTGTGGGGGATAGTTGCGATTTTCGTCCTATTCTCTCATTCTCATTCGGTCTTTTCTTTTCAACGCACGTATTCTGAACACGCGGAAGAGCCAGAAATATTGTAAAGCCAAACCAAATCGAAGTGGAAGTGCTATAAGCAAGTGGAAAAGTGAAAAACTCCAGAGTTCTTGGATTTGTGGAAAGCGCAAAATTCGGAAATTTGTGCCAAGTAAAGCGGTTTATCAGCCTATTTAAAAGTAAATGCTTAAAATATGTGTGGAATTTATATTGTGACTTGGAAAAATGTGATATGCAAATTACTTAACTCACACTAACATTCGTATCGAAACCTAGCGTGCTTGATATTTACAAAAAATGGGGAACAGGAAAACATGTAGCACGAAAAATAGATAAGGGTTCCGGGCTCCCCTTTTCCACTCTCTCTCCCCAGTTCCCGTAGGAGTTCCTCTGGAAAATCAATAAATTTTACATGGCGCACACACACTCCCATTTAAAAGCGGGAGTAAGAGAAGAAGAATCAGAACCAGAGAGCAGGAAGAAGTAGAAGTAGAAGTAGAAGCTCCCACGCCAGAACATACAGTAAGGGACACAAAATTAGCTGCAGTTTGGGTGTGTGATTTATGGACACTTAAAAACATTGATCTGTGACAAGGAAGTGTTTTCTTGTTAGCTACGTGTTATTTATGCTAGCCGTTATCAGGTTAAAAATATTTTGAGTTTTTTAATTTAAACAAAAGGAAGTGAATAAAATGCATTAACTAGCTAATATCTAATTTAACAGACTTTGTGTCAATGCTAAATAAAGTTTTAAAGTTTGTGAAAAAGGAGTAGGTTTAAGGGACCTACTTAAGTGCATTAGGGTGTAGTTGCTCTGTCTTGCCCTGCCGCAAGCTTCTCGTTCGTGTTCTTGTTTTTGGTCTGTGTATTTCTCTTCTCGATGGTGTCCCATCCCGTCAGCTTCCTCTTCTAGCTCCTGCTCTGCTCGTTGACTATTTTATGGTATGTACTTCATTCGTGAATCTTGTTTCGCTATTTTCCGCTCCATCCTCTTCCACCACCCCCTTTCGCTCCACGGCAGACATGTGCGATGCAGACAGCTGCTCTTTTCTCCCGCTCGCTCCGTTTCAAGGTCAGAGTAAGGTTAGCTCCCTCCGCTCAGCTCCGCTCTAAAGGGCCATGGCAGTGATTCTTCTCCACTCGCCATCTCCCTCGTGCCAAAAACCAAACAGTGACAGCTGAAAAGCTGCTGCCACCGAACGCCGCAAATTGTTTTGCCTAATTACCGCATCAAAATTAATGACAACCCACTAAGTGTCAGTATTTGTAATTGAGTATCCTTTTTACACAGAAAAAAATATTATATTTTTACTTCTTTGCATCCTACCAACTTTAATTAAATTAAAAAGTTTTAATTCTTATATTACCTAGTCCAATTTTAATATGCATTTGTTATTTACTAGTTATTTTTATATATGTTATTAAGTTAACTACATAATTTTAACTAGTTTTGGTTAGTATATTTATTTTGTACTAAAACCTTTAATTTTTCATATGAAAATTATTATTTGCCACTTTTTCACAAATTTTGTCAATATTATTTCCACTTTAATATAAAACATTTTGTTTGATTTAAAAAATATTTACCATTTTCCTTTTGCATAGTAAATTAAATCAAAAATTGTTTACAGTCTTTATAAACGTGGGCGGCAAAGTCTTGCCTCACTACGTCATCGCCCTTTGACATTTACACTTTCTCTCTGCGTAGGTGGCAGCTTCCGAGTCCGCTCTTAAAGCCTCAGTCGCTCTCTCGCCCTCTCATCCTTCCGGCTTTCTCCTGACATAACAGTTATGTAATCAGCAAGGCATTTTGCTATTTGCCGCAGAGAGAAAGGCTTTCACAATTCAATTGCACTTGAATTTAAAGGATAACGTTTCTTGCCTTTGTTTTATTACCCATTTATGTGTTTGGGTGCAAGCTCTTAAAAAGGATTGTGTGAAATTGTGTGAGCAAATAAAAGACAGTAGACAAAGTACTTAAAAGATTGTAAAAGATTTCCCGAAAGTGTGAACCAAGCATCCTTAGTCGTGTAAGTATCTTTAAAGCACTTTTTCGGCTTATCACAGATTTCTGAAGATGATATGCAAAGTTAAACATTCTATTGCCTAATGGAAAACGTCTACATTTTTCTTATTGGAAGGCATGCTTTCAAATTAAATTCCTTTCCCCTTTGAAATTGGATATTTTTGCGGTCTCGCTTGCAATAAGGTGGCGCCGCAAGTTTGGTTTAAAATGGTTCAGTGAGTTTACAAACGGAAAACTTTTCAATTGCGTCGCAGCCCAAATCAATTACGATTATATTATAGCAATCGGAATACTCTTGACAACGGTCCCACACTTCTTAACTAAATCTAGAGCATAAAAATAACATTTCAACCTAACGATAAAAACACAAAAATAATCACCTAGAAATATTATAATTAGGTAATGGAATTATCTAACTACATAACAGTAATTTACTAAGACATACAGATATATATTAAGAAACTTTAACAAATTTAATAATGTTTTTCTGTAAATTATGATTTGTAGAATATTTTACATTATAAAAACAAAAATGTCTTTAAATGTAAATACTGATTTTAAATTAAATGCACTTCTGAACGATAAGGGTATATAAGCATTGCTCACAAGTGCTGGATCAAATTAGTTTCATTTGATTTAAAATTGACTTATAAACATTTAGTGTTTATGGCTTAATGTGTTTTCTATCGACTGGACTACATAGAGTTGGTTGGAATGCTGATAGGCGTGGTTACGAGGGTCTTATGGCAAAAAATAATTATAAGTATCCAGAACCAAAGAAACAAGAACCTGGTACCGATTTGTGTGAGTTGGCTTTCCGTTGCAATTTACTTACACTGTTTACCTAATTCTGTTTAGTAAGGGTGGAGAAAGGGGCTATAAAAGCCGCGGGCAACCTACCCCAAATATGCAACCCATTCTAACCAGATACGGTCATTGAAAACTAATGTAAATTGCAACGTCGCTTGTTTATTCATTGCAAACTGTAGTCTCCCTCTTAATTAGCGGGAGGAGGGAAAAGAAGAAAGGTACCGGGGTGGTGCGGTGCTTTCCGCACCTATGCCATAAATAGCAACGAACTGCGATAAATTTCTTGGGACAGGCAGGAATTTATGGAGAAAAAACTGGAAACTGGGAACTTTTTCTATGTGGAGAAATGTCGAGTAAAAAAATATTTCCTCTTTGTGTTATTACCTAAAAAAGTTTGTTAAAGTGAAGCTTTTAATAAATAAAATTATAACTCTTTCTTCTACTAAATCGGAGTAGAAGAATACCTTTTATGTCAACAGTATTGCATGATGTGCTTTCTCATTATACTCGAAGCTGTAGAACTTAAGAAGTTCATGATAATTGACGATTTATTAGCACTTCCCAAGTACAAATTTAACTTTGGGCCTTCAAAATGTCAAGTTTAATTAGCTACTAAAATAAGTTACCTAAGACCCTCATAATAAATACAGCAAGTTTCAAAACTTTAGTGCCTCCTAGTGGTTTCCATTATCCAATCAAAACTCAGGTAAGTTAACAGCAGTTTGACAGATTTTGTTATTAAAGAGATTATTGAACAAGGTTAATTATCAGCTCTTACAGCCCTGGCGCCCACTGTAGGCTTAGATAAAAATGTTCTCATAATTGTAATTACTTCTACGTAATTCCGAGGCGCAATAAAAAAACCGCAATGTGCCCAGGGGGAATCTCTAATTAAACAGTCGACCAGGCGATAATGAAAACCAATTGTAACTATTTTTAAAGCAATTGTGGTGATCCCTTTCCGAATTTCCCCTCGAATCCGCGCTGAATACTTTGCACAGCTGACTCAAGTGCACAGGTTGGAGGCCATAAAACAACGGGGGTACCAATAAAGTTAGCCCCGACTACCTGATAAGCGCCTAGTCGGGTCAGATAATACGCATTTATAACGCCAATATAACCCCCCTATGGATCCCCCTTTTGAATTTTGGCTGTATGATATCGTAAATCGTTGGAATACAAAGTTTATAGCAACGGTGGCTACCGGAGTTGTGTTCTATACCGATTTCTGATGGTGGAACGGAAGAAAGTTCTTCTAGGCTAATGGTATTTTCATTGTGGGATCCTGGCACCCATTAGAACCGCCGATTGTAATTATACCCCGATAACCGTACTAACCACACGCAATGTTGTCGACGCATAATTTATTTATTTATTTCATCATTCGGGGTTATTGAAACTTGTTGCCTGCGCTTGTTTACATTATAAATATATATCACAGGAGTGTATCTATAGATTGTAATACTTGTACT